TTGCTTCCATAAGCAACGCATTAAGGAACCAACGTGAGAAAATAATATTTTAGATTTGGTGTTAACTAACAGGGAAGGCTCAAATTAAAGACATCGAAATCGGGAGTGAGCTAGGGAACAGTGATCACAAAGAAATCAAATTTACCATGGAATGGAATATATTTGAAGGACAGAATTCTGTTAAAATGCCAGATTTCCGAAAAGCTGATTTTAATGGCTTAAGAAATTTTTTGGGTGTAATAGATTGGAAAGTCCTGGGCATGGGGGATAGGCCGGGCTTAGAGCGAGACGTGAATCCAGCGATGGGTGATGTAAAAATGTATTTCGATGTGGATTCAACATATAATTTACTTTGAAATATTCTAAGGAAAGCAAAAGAACATATTATACAATACAAATTGAATAGATCGAATAATAATGACTCAAAATGGATAACAAAGGGGTCTGAAGAACCTTATAGGTAGAAAGAGAACTAGGTAGAAAAAATTAAGATTGGGGGAATTCAGTTTAGAATAAGAATTCGTCCAACTGGTTAGAGATGTTAAAAAAAAGATAAGGCGGGCAAAAAGAAATAATGACGTTTGCATAGCAGGGCAAGTAAAGGCAAATCCTAAAGTTTTTTTTATCAGTAACATTGTTACGGCCACAATGGGTCGCAACCGGGTTCTTTTCTGGTAGTACTAAAGTTCTGGTATCCGGCCCCCAAGTTAGTAGAGGCTTTCAAGGGGTGAGCTCAGTAATGCAAGTAAAACAAAAGGGGGAGGTACATTAAGTACAACAGTTCATCACTTTATCCATATATAATTATTTTCCCATCACCATATAAATTCTTAAAAGGAAGTATTACTACACTACATGTACACCAACGTCTCTCTCTGAAGACACTTAACAATCGGCGAAGCTCAATCGATGCAGTCTTGTACCGTGTTTCCTCATCCGTGGTACTACCCTCAGCAGGTACCGGGAAACAACATCGAGTCTACCCTGGCCACGGGCCAGCCAAACCACAGTCCCACTAAGTGCCTCTTCGTGAAGGCCCACAATCACAATCCAGCCTGGTGCTGGCAGATGCCAATCAGCCTCGCACTGCTGGGGCCACTTCACGAGCGAATACTAGGGTTGCGAGCCTAAGCAGGACCTTCGTGCAACTCGCTGGCTACTCTTGCTCTTTCGGCACCTTAGTCAGCCGCCCCGGGTACGGCGAATCCCGTCACTGCCACTCCACAGGCAGACAGTAGAACACTTCACAATTCTCTTCCGGCGGCAGCTCACTGTTTCCATAAAGCAGACTGGTGTAGAGACCTTGGCTGCCCTGGGTAGACTGCCTTTCCTTGTATCACAGCAACCCTACGTTGACTCTGTGAATACAGACACGTCATCAGTACACTGGGATACTACATGGGACCACTGGGAAACATCACTTACTGGCTTAGACACATACATCCAACTCCGCTTATGACAGATGGCGCTGCTTTTCTAAGCACCACCTCACTAGAGGTCAGCACCAGCTACCTCACGAGCCCATAGGATAAGAATCTAGCATTTCTGGCTGGTATATTCCTGTCGCCCCTAGATGGCGTCGTCCATGTTGTGGGGGGATTCGGGAGCGGACTCACAGATGGCGTTGACGTCACTGCTCTGGCGATGAACTTGGGTTCGTAACAAATAACAAACAAAGATAAGGGAAAAGATAGTTCCATTAAAAACTGAAACAGGTCAGATAACTGATAATGACGAAGAAATGAGTAGTATTTAATAAATATTTGTCTCTGTATATACTAAAGTGGAACTTAAAATTATGCCTTCAGCTAAACAAGTCTATATTGGTGGGGAAGAGGACAAGTTAACTAGATTAGTAGTTACCAGGGATGAAGTTATTAAACAAATAGTACAATTCAAGCCAAATTAATCCCCAGGGCCAGACGAAGTGTTTGCCAGGGTGTGCAAAGAATGCAAAGAGGAGCTTTGTGAGCCATTGTCTACCATATTTAATAAATCATTAGAATAATAGAGTAAATCATTAGAATACACTAGAATATTACAATAGAATAAATCATTAGAATACACTAGAATATTACATTAGAATAAATCAGTAATAATGCCAGAGTCGTGGAAAATTGCTAATGTGGTACCAATTTTCAAGAAAGGAGATAGATCACTTGCGTCAAACTATCGGCCAATTAGCCAAACGTATACAGTGGAAAAGTTAATTAATTCGATAATTGCGTATACCATTCGTCTTCATTTTGAAAACATATATAAATAATTGATTCATAACATGGTTTTACTAATGGCCGTTAATGTTTAACAAATTTGCTATCATTATATTCAAGCATAATTGAGGCAGTTGATAGTGGTAAGGTTTGTGATGTTGTGTACCTTGACTTTAGCAAAGCTTTCGATACAGTGCCACATGAAAGACTGATTAAAACGATAGAGGCTCATGGTATTGGGGGCGCTATATTAAGTTGGGTTCGTAACAAATAAGGGCATGGCTATACCAAAGGAAAGAGAGTTAGTATAAATCTGGTCAAGTCAAACTGGGGAAAATGTTGAAGTGCCTCAAGGCTTTGTCCTGTGACCTCGGTTATTCATAATATATATAAATGATTTAGATTCAGGTTTGAGCAGAAAATATTTGCAAATTTGCCGATGATACGAAAATCGTGAGGGAGATAAACATAGAAAATGACTCACTATCAATTCAAGACGATGTAAATAGGGTTTTGAAATGGTCCAAAGATTTTCAGATACAGTTCAATGCTGACAAATGACATAACAGAACAAAAAACAATGGGTATGAATTGGATAGGTTCATATTTAGGAAAGAGCTGGGTAACTACTGGGTCGGTAACAGGGTTGTTGATTTGAGGAACCAATTACCGTGTAATATAAGAGAAGTATGGTCCCTTGATTGTTACAAGCGCGGGTTGGACATGATATGAATGAGACTGGGCGCATATAAATAGGAGCTGCCTCGTATGGGCCAATAGGCCTTCTGCAGTTACCTTCATTCTTATGTTCTTAACTGTTTTAGAAGATGTAGATAATTGGCTTTTGTGATTATCGATTTTAAAAAAATATTCCACAAAAGACGTTAAGATTTTAAGTTAGGGAGCCGGTCGGCCGAGCGGACAGCACGCTGGACTTGTGATCCTGTGGTCCCGGGATCGATCCCGGGCGCCGGCTAGAAACAATGGGCAGAGTTTCTTTCACCCTATGCCCCTGTTACCTAGCAGTAAAATAGGTACCTGGGTGTTAGTCAGCTGTCACGGGCTGCTTCCTGGGGGTAAAGGCCTGGTCGAGGACCGGGCCGCGGGGACACTAAGCCTCGAAATCATCTCAAGATAACCTCAAGAAGGCCAATAGTTCAATGGAAGTAATCTAAGTCCCTTCTTAAAAGTCGGTACCACATTAGTAACCCTTCACTACTCTGGTACTCTGCTCGACTCAGGATTATATTAACCAATTATCGCGTAACATAATAGAAGTGGGGGTCCCTTGAGTGTTTCAAGCATAGGTTGGACATATATATGAATGAGAGGGCCTCGTAGCCTGGTGGATAGCGCGCAGGATTCGTAATTCTGTGGCGCGGGTTCGATTCCCGCACGAGGCAGAAACAAATGGTCAAAGTTTCTTTCACCCTGAATGCCCCTGTTACCTAGCAGTAAATAGGTACCTGGGAGTTAGTCAGATGTCACGGGCTGCTTCCTGGGGGTGGAGGCCTGGTCTAGGACTGGGCCGCGGGGACACTAAAGCCCCGAAATCATCTCAAGATAACCTTAAGATAACCTCAAGAGATTGGGTGGATATAAATAGGAGCTGCCATGTATGGGGCCAAATAGGCTCTCTGCAGTTTCTTTCATTCATATGCTCTTATTTTCTTATTAAAGGTGCAAGACAAGAGCTCAAAAAGCTCTTCCTTACATTCTTGAAGCACCCTGGCAACCACTCGTCTGGCCCTGGGGATTTGTTTGGCATTAATCTTGTTTTGCTTTATAACTTCCCTGGTAGTCACTAGTGAACCAGTCCGCTTCACCACCGATATAGATTTGTTCAGCTGAAGATATTATGTTATGTTCTTAAGTAAATGCAGAGACAAAATATTTATAATAAATATTTCTCATTTATTTATCATTATCATTTATCTGACCTGTCTCGATTTTTAATAGCCTAATTAAAATTAATTAATGACCTTTTCCCCTAATCTTAGTTTGATATAACCGAAACAAAAAACTTTTGGATTTTATTTAGACATGCTCTGTTATAAGTACTTCACAGTTTATTTTCACTTTCCTTATTCCTTTTTTGACATTTCTAACTAGTTTGGCAACTTGTTCTAAATTGACGTCCTCATTCATAATCCTTGTAAACAGAGCTATCGCTCAGCATATAAGGTTATTTAGCAGCACGTCCTCGTTCCCAACGACCAGAAATTGTAGTACTAAATTGCCTTATCTTAACCTTCCAGAGGACCCATCAACACAAAACGGGAAATGTGAATTTCGCAAACCGCTACCATTTTCTAGTATCATAGTTTTTGGGCTTGGGTAAAATATACGTCAAAATGCGACGTATTATCAGGAGGACGGGTTGTATATAGGCCCATGGATATCCATCTATACATTTAGGGTCAATGTTATTCAGTCTAATAAGTGTATTAAGTTACACTAGCCTAGTGCAGGCGATGAGTCACAATAACGTGGCTGAAGTATGTTGACCAGACCACACACTAAAAGTTGAAGGGACGACGACGTTTCGGTCCGTCCTGGACCATTCTCAAGTCGATTGTGAGAATGGTCACAATCAAGTCGATTGTGACAATCGACTTGAGAATGGTCCAGGACGAAACGTCGTCGTCCCTTCAACGTTATACTAGCCTAAGGGGATGGGGTGTGGTTGGTGCTGAAATTGAATGAAGTTGAAAAAATTTACAAATAAAAACGAATTTATTCATTCATAATTGTTATGATTTTAAGAGAGGTTTATGATATGGACAGGTGTGGCGGTGTGTGAGGTCGGGCAGGCCATCACGTGTGTGGTGTCGGCCAACCAGCGCCACAAGGACAGGTGTGTGGCCGCCGACCGTCTCTGTGACGGATTCAACCACTGTCACAACGGCGACCAGCTTTCTGATGAGACGGGGTGCGGTGAGTATGTCTCTGTCTGTCTGTCTGATTGTCTCTCTCTCTCTCTCTCTCTCTCTCTCTCTCTCTCTCTCTCTCTCTCTCTCTCTCTCTCTCTCTCTCTCTCTCTCTCTCTCTCTCTCTCTCTCTCTCTCTCTCTCTCTCTCTCTCTCTCTCTCTCTCTCTCTCTCTCTCTCTCTCTCTCTCTCTCTCTCTCTCTCTCTCTCTCTCTCTCTCTCTCTCTCTCTCTCTCTCTCTCTCTCTCTCTCTCTCTCTCTCTCTCTCTCTCTCTCTCTCTCTCTCTCTCTCTCTCTCTCTCTCTCTCTCTCTCTCTCTCTCTCTCTCTCTCTCTCTCTCTCTCTCTCTCTCTCTCTCTCTCTCTCTCTCTCTCTCTCTCTCTCTCTCTCTCTCTCTCTCTCTCTCTCTCTCTCTCTCTCTCTCTCTCTCTCTCTCTCTCTCTCTCTCTCTCTCTCTCTCTCTCTCTCTCTCTCTCTCTCTCTCTCTCTCTCTCTCTCTCTCTCTCTCTCTCTCTCTCTCTCTCTCTCTCTCTCTCTCTCTCTCTCTCTCTCTCTCTCTCTCTCTCTCTCTCCCTGAAATTCTGAAATGTACTTGCAAGCTGAATCTTACAATGCAATTTGCAGCTCACCTCGCAATATGAATACCACCTTGCAATATGAAGCTCACCTTGCAAGCACATTTAATTGCATAGTTCCACCAATCTCGTCATACATTCATCTACACATTCATTCATGTATTCTCTATACATTTATACATACATCTATACATTTGGTCAAGAACACAGGTTACTCTGTATATATTGTTAAAGCGTTGAAACACATTGTTCAAATCATCACTGACAAAACCACGAACATGGTTAGAAACATATATCAACAGTGAACATGATTTGAACATGATTAGAACATGATTTGATCTAATGTGCGGGGCCCAAAATGGTCGCGACAGCTCTCAATTGAATTGTAATCAATATTTTTTGATCCGTCGATCACCACACTAGTGTGGTGGTGGTGGCCTTGGCTCAGGTGCTCTGGCTCTCCTGGTCTGGGTATACGGGTGGGAGTATTGATCACTAGACGAGGTTGTCCGCCTGTACTCTGCTTGTTTCAGGCCACCCACCGACGAGCGGACAGCACGCTGGACTTGTGATCCTGATGGTCCTGGGTTCGATCCCAGGCGCCGGCGAGAAACAATGGGCAGAGTTTCTTTCACCCTATGCCCCTGTTACCTAGCAGTAAAATAGGTACCTGGGTGCTAGTCAGCTGTCACGGGCTGCTTCCTGGGGGTGGAGGCCTGGTCGAGGACCGGGCCGCGGGGACACTAACAAAAGCCCCGAAATCATCTCAAGATAACCACCCGTAGACGTCAAGGGTCACCGTTGATGACGGTGGTCACCTTTGAAGGCGGCCTAGTTGGGGGGAGGGGAAAGGGCACCATTGATGGCGTCTACGGGATGGGCCCACCTGATGACATCTAGGAATGATGATGTGTTGGCAAATATTGATATATGATGACGTCCGGGATTGCATTGATGATGTCCTGGCCACACTGATGACGTCCAAGCCCTCATTGACGATGTCTTGGTCGCCAATGATGATGTCCAGTTCACAACTGATGACATCCAGGTCATATTGATGACGTACGAGTCACTACAGATAACATCTAGGACACCACTGATGACGTCCGTGAACCACTGATGATTTTCAAGCCTCTATTGATTATGTCAAGAGTTGCCACTACGTTGATACCCCTGAGATGAGGCCACCACTGTTGACGTCCAGGTGGTGTGGCCAACACTACTGACGTCCAGGTAGTGTGGCCACCACCACTGACATCCAGGTGGTGTTGCCAACACTACTGACGTCCAGGTGGTGTGGCCACCACCACTGACATCCAGGTGGTGTGGCCACCACCACTGACATCCAGGTGGTGTGGCCACCACCACTGACATCCAGGTGGTGTGGCCACCACCACTGACATCCAGGTGGTGTGGCAACCACTAGTGACGTCCAGGTAGTGTGGCCACCACCACTGACATCCAGGTGGTGTTGCCAACACTACTGACGTCCAGGTGGTGTGGCCACCACTACTAACGTCCAAGGGGTGTGGCCACCACCACTGACGTCCAGGTAGTGTGGCCACCATTACGGACGTCCAGGTGGTGTGGCCACCACTACTGACGTCCAGGTTGTGTGGCCACCACTACTGACGTCCAGGTTGTGTGGCCACCACCACTGACGTCCAGGTGGTGTGGCCACTACTACTGACGTCCAGGTGGTGTGGCCACCACTACTAACGTCCAAGGGGTGTGGCCACCACTACTAACGTCCAAGGGGTGTGGCCACCACTACTAACGTCCAGGTGGTGTGGCCACCACTACTAACGTCCAAGGGGTGTGGCCACCACTACTAACGTCCAAGGAATGTGGCCACCACTACTAACGTCCAGGTGGTGTGGCCACCACTACTAACGTCCAAGGGGTGTGGCCACCACTACTAACGTCCAAGGGGTGTGGCCACCACTACTGACGTCCAGGTGGTGTGGCCACCACTACTAACGTCCAGGTGGTGTGGCCACCACTACTAACGTCCAGGTGGTGTGGCCACCACTACTAACGTCCAGGTGGTGTGGCCACCACTACTAACGTCCAGGTGGTGTGGCCACCACTACTAACGTCCAGGTGGTGTGGCCACCACTACTAACGTCCAAGGGGTGTGGCCACCACTACTAACGTCCAAGGGGTGTGGCCACCACTACTAACGTCCAGGCGGTGTGGCCACCACTACTAACGTCCAAGGGGTGTGGCCACCACTACTAACGTCCAAGGGGTGTGGCCACCACTACTAACGTCCAAGGGGTGTGGCCACCACTACCGACTTCCAGGAGGTGTGGCCACCACCACTGACGTCCAGGTGGTGTGGCCACCACTACTAACGTCCAGGTGGTGTGGCCACCACTACTAACGTCCAGGTGGTGTGGCCACCACTACTAACGTCCAGGTGGTGTGGCCACCACTACTAACGTCCAGGTGGTGTGGCCACCACTACTAACGTCCAGGTGGTGTGGCCACCACTACTAACGTCCAGGTGGTGTGGCCACCACTACTAACGTCCAAGGGGTGTGGCCACCACTACTAACGTCCAAGGGGTGTGGCCACCACTACTGACGTCCAGGTGGTGTGGCCACCACTACTGACGTCCAGGTGGTGTGGCCACTACTACTGACGTCCAGGTGGTGTGGCCACCACTACTAACGTCCAAGGGGTGTGGCCACCACTACTAACGTCCAAGGGGTGTGGCCACCACTACTAACGTCCAAGGGGTGTGGCCACCACTACTAACGTCCAAGGGGTGTGGCCACCACTACTAACGTCCAAGGGGTGTGGCCACCACTACTAACGTCCAAGGGGTGTGGCCACCACTACTGACGTCCAGGTGGTGTGGCCACCACTACTGACGTCCAGGTGGTGTGGCCACCACTACTGACGTCCAGGTGGTGTGGCCACCACTACTGACGTCCAGGTGGTGTGGCCACCACTACTGACGTCCAGGTGGTGTGGCCACCACTACTAACGTCCAGGTGGTGTGGCCACCACCACTGACGTCCAGGTGCCCACTACTACTGTGGCCCTTAGATTTAGATTTAGATATAGATATTTATTCAGGTAAAGGCACATACATTGAGAATGTTACAAACATAATGTTGGATTTAAAGATATCCCTAGTACATACAATACCTAAAGCCACTAGTACGCATAGCCTTTCGGGCTCAGTGTTGCCGTCCAAGGGTGTGGCTCTCGCCGGTGTCATCTACTATCAGTAACAACCGCACTGTGTAAACATATTTGCCAATAAAGTGGTAATTAAAAGTATCCAGCAACGCCTCCCCGCCCCAAGGACCCCCCTAGCCCTCCACCCCCAGGCCACCCCTCTCGCTCCCCAGGCACCCCCTCTCGCCCCCCACCCCCAGGCCACCCCTCTCGCCCCCCCGCCCCCCCCACCCACGGCCGACCCTTGGGAGGAGGGAGGCACGGCCATGTCCAGCAGACTGAGAGCCCACACTTCCAGGCACTTTCAGGCTCTGATCATTAATTTCACGTAACCTGCTAAGAGAAGTGGCATGTTGAGGACGCACCTGGAGCTGCATAGTGAAGAGTCAAGGGCATAAACTGTGAGTGGAGAGATTGTAATGTAGCCATTGGACGATAGCAGTTCCCAGGGCGCAGAGGTAAGAAGATTCTCGCCCGGCGCTTCGCAAGTGCTTTGGCCTGGGTTCGTATCCTAGCTCTTGTGTGTGTGTGTGTGTATATATATATATATATATATATATATATATATATATATATATATATATATATATATATATATATATATATATATATATATATATATATATATGACTGAAAATTCACACCCCAGAAGTGACTCGCACCCATACTGCCAGGAGCAACGCAACTGGTATCTACAGGACGCCTTAATCCGCTTGACCATCACGACAGGACATAAGGAAGTGATAGCCGAAGCTATTTGAATCACTTCTCCTCCGACATTTGGATGGTAATCTTGGGCATAGTATTTTATCAAATCACCTCATTCTTTGGAGCACATGTGAGGAACAAAAATGCAAACAAGCCTGAATGGTCCCCAGGACTATATGCGACTGAAAACTCACACCCCAGAAGTGACTCGAACCCATACTGCCAGGAGTAACGCAACTGGTATCTACAGGACGCCTTAATCCGCATGACCATCACGACAGGACATATATCATTGTCGTGTCGTATATATATATATGTATAAATATATATGTCGTATCTAGTAGCCAGAACTCACTTCTCAGCCTACTATGCAAGGCCCGATTTGCCTAATAAGCCAAGTTTTCATGAATTAATTATTTTTCGGCAACCTAACCTACCTAACCTAACCTAACCTATCTTTTTCGGCTACCTAACCTAACCTAACCTATAAAGATAGGTTAAGTTAGGTTAGGTAGGGTTGGTTAGGTTTGGTCATATATCTACGTTAATTTTAACTCCAATAAAATATAATTGGCCTCATACATAATGAAATGGGTAGTTTTATCATTTAATAAGAAAAAAATAAAGAAAATATATTAATTCAGGAAAACTTGGCTTGTTAGGCAAATCGGGCCTTGCATAGTAGGCTGAAAAGTGCGTTCTGGCTACTAGATACGACATATATATATATATATATATATATATATATATATATATATATATATATATATATATATATATATATATATATGTTGTACCTAGTAGCCAGAACGTCGTACTCGGCCTACTATGCAAGGGTCGATTTGCCTAATAAGCAAAGTTTTCCTGAATTTAAATATTTAAAAAAAAAATCTTATTAAATAATAAATCTGTCCATTTCTTTATGTATAAGTTAATTTGTTTAAATTTGAGTTATAACTAACGTAGATATATGACCGAACCTAACCAACCCAACCTAACCTAACCTAACCTATCTTAACCTAACCTAAACTAACACAACTAAGTCAATAATTTATGTTCCTAATATAATATATGAATAATAATTCGAATAAACTAATTGGAAACAGATTACAAGGACAGGACCTAACGTCCTGTCCTGTCTTACATTGTCTTGTAAGGACAAGACCAGAACATAACGATGCCAACACAGAAGACACTGTTCAACATAACAGGCCAATTACACCTGATTAATCTTCATATGTAGATAGGAGCTGCCTCGTATGGGCCAATAGGCATTCTGCAGTTACCTTTATTCTTATGTTCTTATGTGCTTCATCCCCCATTTATCCCTTATATATCCCCCATGTTTTTACCTTTATTGTCTTATCACCTGACCCAGTGCGGTTATAAATCAACCCGTCTGGTCAATCAATAAATCAATATGTCTGGTCAACATAAATCAACCAATTCTGAAAATTCTTTTCACTTGAGAATGAACCATGGAGGTTCGAAACGTTGTGCATATTGTATAAATAAGTGTAATACATTCTATAGTAATTCACTTTTTTCTTCACCTTGAAATTACGAAGAATGAGTTTTGGAGAACTCCGCTTTCAGCTAAGCCCTGATGCTAAGAAAATTGTTAGAGGGATAGAAGCCCTAAATCAGAAGATAGTAAATAAAGAATATGCGGTCATATTCAATGAGACATATATATATATATATATATATATATATATATATATATATATATATATATATATATATATATATATATATATATATATATATATATTATTAAATATGACCGAAAAAGTAAGATTAATAATTCTAACACGAATTTTCTCAATCTTTCGTACATTACGCTTCACTGTTGGAGGTAAATCAAAAATCACTTCTCCAAAATCATTTTTATTTCTAGTCTGACGCGACACGGGCGCGTTTCGTAAAACTTATTACATTTTCAAAGACTTCACAAATACACAACTGATTAGAACTACGTCTCTCTGATATTATATCTACATTTGAGTGAGGTGGGAAGGATGATGTGGCATTAACACAAGACAGAACAGGGGATATTAATAGGGTATTAAAAGTATCAACACAAGACAGAACAGAAACAATGGGTATTGAATAGAAGTGTTTGTAGAAAGCCTGTTGGTCCATATTTCTTGATGCTTCTATATTGGAGCGGAGTCTTGAATATAGAAGCATCAAGAAATATGGACCAATAGGCTTTCTACAAACACTTCTATTCAATACCCATTGTTTCTGTTCTGTCTTGTGTTGATACTTTTAATACCCTATTAATATCCCCTGTTCTGTCTTGTGTTAATGCCACATCATCCTTCCCACCTCACTCAAATGTAGATATAATATCAGAGAGACGTAAGTTCTAATCAGTTGTGTATTTGTGAAGTCTTTGAAAATGTAATAAGTTTTACGAAACGCGCCCGTGTCGCGTCAGACTAGAAATAAAAATGAATTTTGGAGAAGTGATTTTTGATTTACCTCCAACAGTGAAGCGTAATGTACGAAAGATTGAGAAAATTCGTGTTAGAATTATTAATCTTACTTTTTCGGTCATATTTAATAATATATGTCTACAGGAAAGACTGCTACCAAAATATACTAATATATATATATATGTATATATATATGGCCCGATTTGCCTAATAAGCCAAGTTTTCCTCAATTAATATATTTTCTCTAAATTTTTTCTTATGGAATCATAAAGCTACCCATTTCATTATGTATGAGGTCAATTTTTTTCATTGGAGTTAAAATTAACGTAGATATATGACCGAACCTAACCAACCCTACCTAACCTAACCTAACCTATCTCTACAGGTTAGGTTGGGTTATGTAGCCGAAAAAGTTAGGTTAGGTTAGGTTAGGTAGTCGAAAAACAATTAATTCATAAAAACTTGGCTTATTAGGCAAATCGGGCCTTGCATAGTAGGCTGAGAAGTGAGTTCTGGCTACTAGGTACGACATATATATATATATATATATATATATATATATATATATATATATATATATATATATATATATATATATATATATATATATATATATATTAAATATATTATAATAATAATAATAATATACACTCACACAAGAGTTCATGTACAGCCACTAGCACACGTAGCGTTTCGGGTGGATACTTAATCATAATTTTCCTCGGAATACGACCCGACAAGTCGTTTAACCACCAGGTACCCATTCACTGCTGGGTGAACAGAGGCTACAGTTAAGGATTGGCGCCCAGTCAATCCTTCCCGGCCAGGATACGAACCCAGGTCAAAGCACTCGCGAAGCGCCGAGCAAGTGTTTTATCACTGCGCCATAGAGACTACTTGATTTCTTGGGTGTTATTATTTATTTTCGCTGATAAACTTCCACTTCACACAAACTAATTTTTATAATTTTAATTACACGAAAATTAATCCACGAGTTGGTAATGTGAATTAAATTAATGTTAAATCCTATTATTGAATTCAACCAATTGTTATTGTTATTATTTAAAATATTTCACAGCTTAGTTGTTATGGTAGAAGTTGTGGGTAGCCAAGCCGGACCCGTAATCACGTGGTTCATGGCGTCGTTACGTGCAGGTTGGTACAAGAATCAGTCACGTGATCTCACATTTATGTATAAACATAGTTGAATATATTTAATATTTATGTTTAGTTATTGATTGTTTCAGTGAACTAGGCTATTTTCTGATAATTTGATTGTCATTCAGTCCCTTTGATATATTAACATTAACGAATTAGTGCCCTGCTGCACTGGACACAAAGTATAGAATTATTTCCAAGTGCGGGTTCTTCTCGGATGTGGCGGGAGCAGCAGACACTGAGCCTGCAACTGAATACTACTTGTTTATTCAGGATTAGGAGACAACAGAGGACGTCATCAGAAATCAGCTAATTTCCTTGTTAATTTGTCAATAAAGATTCCTGTTTTATTCAAGAGATATATATATATTTGAATTATTGAGTCACATAAAGTTTGAATTTGTCATGTAGGTCTTCAAATCCTCTCGCTCTCACCTGTTGAAATGACTTGTCTGATCCTCTGTAACTGACCTGTAGTTTGACCTACTTTATGGATCAGGTAAACTAGAGGAAGTGTATCTAGACTTTATAATCCATAATTGTGTGGACCTTCAAACTGCAGTAGGGGTCCTCTCGGTCTGCTAAAGGAGATGGCGAATTAAATAATTTTCAACAGCCATCACTGACGACGTTGATGGCATGTGGTTAACATTGACGACGTTGATGAGTAGTAGCTATCACTGACGACGTTGATGGGTCGTGGCCATTACTGACGACGTTGATGGGTCGTGGCCATTACTGACGACGTTGATGGGTCGTGGCCATTACTGACGACGTTGATGGGTCGTGGCCATCACTGACGACGTTGATGGTTTTGGCCATTACTGACGACGTTGATGGGTCGTGGCCATTACTGACGACGTTGATGGGTCGTGGCCATCACTGACGACGTTGATGGTTTTGGCCATTACTGACGACGTTGATGGGTCGTGGCCATCACTGACGACGTTGATGGGTCGTGGCCATTACTAACGACGTTGATGGGTCGTGGCCATCACTGACGACGTTGATGGGTCGTGGCCATTACTGACGACGTTGATGGGTCGTAGCCAATACTGACGACGTTGATGGGTCGTGGCCATTACTGACGACGTTGATGGGTCGTAGCCAATACTGACGACGTTGATGGGTCGTGGCCATCATTGACGACGTTGACGGGATGCGGGCATCAACCTCGGCTGCGAAGTACGTGACCTAGAGTGCCCTGTACTCAACATGTCCCCGTGGCGTCCCGGGGAGACGGGGAAACAAGCCAACAACCACGTGTGTTGTGCAGTCATTAACTGTCTCACCCACCAGCCTGTCCTCATACAGTCCGTCCTCATAAATAAAGGCCAGAGTCCATTCCATACAGCCGCCAAACCCGCTGTTTATGAATGAAAAATGGTTTACACAGGACTCACAACTGTTGACGTTCGAGCATTTCCGGAACAAGTGTTTCACTGAGGAATTTTGTTCGAACCACAACGCTGTAAAGACTTCACCCACGTACTACAAATACAAATAACCGCCAAAAGAACCTAAACTCCTAACCTAACCAATGCCTAAATATGCACAGTATGTTAATATAACATAATATTAATTTATACTTGTAAAAGTTTCTATTTTGAATGAACAGCATGTTAAAATTAATGTTACGTCATTGGAGTCTACCGCTGAATGGAAGCGACTTGGTCTGAGGACGGATTGCTCCACACTGAATAAATATTTACACATTAGCTGGCTGGGAATAATGCCATTCGTGGGTTTTCCTGAGTTCATTAACCGCAAGCACCGTGCTGGAGGCGGGGCAGAATGCACGCTGCCGGAGCCAAATGCCGGACTCTAACAATGCATCATTAATCCCCCACCTCAACTAGTACTATGAAACATTTGGCAGAAATCCTCCCATTGCAACTAGTCATAATTGAGCACAGGACAGAAATCCACCTATTTCAGCTAGTTGAATGTCGCCCTGGGAAACATTGCACCCATCCCAATTAGACATAATGGTATAGTAGGCAGTTATCTCTCTCTCCTCTACTAGTGATCATGGAGAATTTCTTATTAATTCCACACCTCATCTAGTTGTCATTGCAAACTAGGTAGTAATCTTTCACCACAAGTAGTGGTCATTACGCAATTTACTATAATCCCCCAGCTGAATTAGTCCTCGTGGAAAACTGACCAGGGACCCCGCACCTTAACTAGCGTGTTAAGGAACACTGACCATTAATCCCGCGCGTCAAGTAGTCGTCATGGAATACTAGGCAGTAATCCTCCACTTTTACTAGTCGTGATTAAATGTCGAGTAGTAATCCCCCCACCTCAACTAGTCTTCAGGGGACATTAGACAGTAATCCCCCACCTCAACAAGAGGTCAGGGAACACTGAGCAGTAATCCGCACCTCAACTAATCCGTGGGACTCTCCTCACCTGAGTATTATATAAATGTAAAGAAACTCTTGGTATTTGTCACACTCATGAAATAACACAACACTATCAGAGAGGAACTCACAACGCCTTGAACTATTGACAGAGGTTTATGTAGACGCAGTTCAGTCCCTTCCTCTTGAATATTCACGGGAAAACGCTGACATCTGCTTGTAAAATACATTGTGAATATAACCAATTTCGCCAGTTTAAATTTCATTAAATTGTTCCGTATTTGTTAATTTTTCAGTAATTTGATTAGTTCAGAATGCAGAGAGTTGGTAATGAGTCATAAATTAACGTTCATCCGCCATTACATTTTTACCAATAATTTGAAACCTCTTGAATTATTCGTTCTACTTTACCAATTTCTCTTATGTAATCACTCTTTTTCTCCTCTCTCTCTCTCTCTCTCTCTCTCTCTCTCTCTCTCTCTCTCTCTCTCTCTCTCTCTCTCTCTCTCTCTCTCTCTCTCTCTCTCTCTCTCTCTCTCTCTCTTTCTTTCTTTCTTTCTTTCTTTCTTTCTTTCTTTCTTTCTTTCTTTCTTTCTTTCTTTCTTTCTTTCTTTCTTTCTTTCCTTTTCCCCCGAGTTTCTTAGTGTAAATTATTCCATATATAATAGTTGATTCAGAGGCGACGACAATCGAAATTATTATATATAGGTGAACATATAAAGTAAAACAAGTTAGTCTCTATGTTAAAGCAACATTTTGATTTTCTGTGTCTCCTTACATGAGGGCAGGTGAGGAGCGTGAGGCGTGCAGGGGGGCGGGGCAGGAGGGGGCGTGGTTCACCTGCTCTGATGGGCGGTGTCTCCCTGCCAGACTTCGCTGTGATCGCAAGATGGACTGTCTTAAAGGCGAAGACGAGTCTGACTGTGGTGAGTACTGGTGGTAGACCTCTCTGTCGTGGTGGTGGACAGATTGTTGTCTGTCTGTCTGTTGGTGACTGATCATTTTCCAGTTAGTTACTGTTCATTTGCCAGTTGGTGACTCTGTGTTTTCCTGTTAGTGACTATTGTGTAATTGTTAGTAACTGGTGTGTGGTTGTTAGTGACTGTTGTGTGTTCATGTTGTCACTGTCATGTGACTGTTAGTGAATGTGACTATTATGTTACAGTGACGGTGGAGTGTGCGGCGGGAGAGTGGCAATGCGTCAGTGGGCAGTGCATCTCCGAGGCTTTGCGCTGCGATCTCCACTTCGACTGCTACGACAAGACCGATGAACTCAACTGCAGTGAGTATTGTGAGGATGTTTTGTGAGTCTGCATTTATTTACCTATGTAGTTGTTTATTTCTGTATGATCTTGGGTCCCGCCTTTCAAACCGTCGGTTGTCTCATCTACTGACTCCTAAAATATTTTCTGTCATATACGTTATTCACAATAAAACAAATGTGAATCTGATCCTGGCTTGTAATTGTTATTGTGTAATTGTTTATCCTCCAGATTATAGAAAACTACTTTTATTAACTTGTGACAAACCGGTTAGTTTAAGGTAAGTTAGGTTTTGTTGGGGTGCTTTGGGTTTGCTTCGGTTTGGTATGGTTAGGTTAGATTGGATCGGGTCGGTTCGGATTGGGTTAGGTCGAGTTGGGTTGGGTTGGATTGTGTCGAGTTGAGTTGAGTTGGGTTGGGTTTGATCTGGTTGGGTTGGGTTACGTGTTAAGAGAGGCGATGACATTATGAGTTTATACCTTTCTCAGGTCTCGGGCTCTACTCACATTTATGAGGTGATCAAAGTAGTAATGAGGTATTACCTACCACATAAGGTTAATATGAATATTGATCAGGGTTAATTTGAATAGTAAATTCCTTTGTTTGGGGACGTTTACTACTAATAAAATGTTGCAACCCACACTCTCGCACCCTTATGATGGTGCATTCGTTGCTTCCTATCCTTAAATTTGTTTAGTGCATTTTTGCAATTTGTTATAAATTTAGTTGCTGTTATGGGGGGTATAGAGTAGTAAAGGAGAAGGGCCAACAGCTAGAATCAGGGTGTATCAAAATTAGTGGAGATCAGGTAGGCCCGGCCCCCAATGAGAACATAAAACAATATTACTTTAATGGCTTAAGGTTCATACGTCAGCCTACAGGTTTGATCACTGATCCCCTACACAGGAAGAATGGATACTCCTTTAAAACTAACTTATTTATTAACCCCCTCTTAACAACCCCCCCATATACAATAACAACAATAACAATAACTACTTTACCACACAATTTTACTTTAGAAGCCTTAGTCCACATAGGCAGGATGCAAGTTTTTACAATTAGGACAAGCTAGGGTAAAGTCTACTAGGCAGGGGGCACTAGCAAGGACTCTAAGTAGCTTGGTACCACTTGAGCACACGTGGTTCCTCTGAGACCCCTTAGAGTAACTTAGCAATATAAACATTAGAGTAGCCTACACACATTACTACACATGTATGCCAGAAAACGTACGTGCTACACGGTACTTAGCTTTGTAAACTAGACCCAGGATAAGGTAAGGGAAGAGGAGAAAGAGGAGGAGGAGGCAGAGCAACACAGGAGAGGTGTTGACTCAACCACAGCAGTCCAGAGAAGCCTCAAGCCCGGCGTCCAGTCTCCGAGCTCCCAAGTTGTTGTTATGGTTGCCGGGAAGATAACCTAATTGATCGTGCAGCTACAAACAATACAAGTCTTCACCGGCCTTCGTTACTTTACTAGTTCTAAGAGTAGTTGATAATTAGTTCACTCATTAATAATCAACAGCAAGCTGAAGTCTGAATGATCTGTGAGAAACAAGATTCGTCTTACGTCTGGCAAGGAAGATAGGAACAAACGCACATCAGCAATTGTATCAAATAATGTAAAGTAAATAATTTAGAGCTCAATTTGACCTCTCCTCTGGTTTCCAACTAAGGAACCCAGGGTCGTAACACTCCTCCACCCTTTCAAAGAAAAAAAAATGTGGCTACTAGAATTGTAGCTATATGTTTTTTGTAAGAGTATACAGAGAATAAAAAGGAAAACTATGCAATAATAGAAAATCAAACAAAAACAAAAATTTATCTGCAAGAAAAATCACAAAAGAATTTTCGGAAAGAAAAAGCACATACAAAAAAAAAAAAAACAGCGAAGTAAATAAAATTGACAGGGAATATTTAATGTCACAGGAGAACCTAAAAAAAAATAACTAAAGCATGACAGTTGGTATATGGCTTCCTGTGGCTCAGATGAATGTTACTCGGGTAACCTGGACAGAGCATCGGCTATCAAAGTGAGCCGGCCCGGTAGGTGGGTAATGGAAAGATTGAAGTCCTGTAGGTACAATGCCCACCTGAGGATGCGTTTATTTTTCGCCTTCATCTGGTTTAAGAACACAAGTGGGTTATAGTCTGTGTACACTTTTACTATATTTCCTGTTAGGTATACTTCAAACTTTTTAAATGTTAACACTAGCGCCAACGCCTCTTTTTCTGCCACTGAATAATTGCATTGCTCCTTGTCAAATTTCACAGAGTAATAGTATACTGGGTGGTCTACTTGATCATCCCCAGTTTGCAACAACCCTGCACCAGCACCCGAGTCAGACGCGTCAACATGAATTTTAAACGATCAATCGAACTAGCGAGCACTGGGGAAGAAGCTAAGATCAATTTCAAATTTTTAAATGCCTCTGCACAGTCTGTTGACCACTTAAACTTAACGGCCTTCCGCAACAAGTCTGTGAGAGGAGTGGCAACACTGGAAAAGTTCTGACAAAAGCGTTGGTAATACGCACCAACCCGTTCTCGCACTTGCTTACTGCCAATATTGGCTTATTTAATAAGTGCATATGTGACATACTAGTTGATTGTGAATATTTTAGTTTACCTTGAAAAGCTTCATAGAAAACACCGACCTCACCTAACCTTCTTAGTATGTTAAGATAAGCATCTTATTGCTTCTTATTTACAATTATTACTTAACCTATCAACAGTATAGGTTAAGTAATAATTGTAATTATTAATGTAATAATTGTAATTTACAATTATTACTTAACCTATCAACAGTATAGGTTAAGTAATAATTGTAATTAAGAAGGAATAAGATGCTTATCTTAACATACTAAGAAGGTTAGGTGAGGTCGGTGTTTTCTATAAAGCTTTTCAAGGTAAACTAAAATATTCACAATCAATTAGTATGTCACATTAGCCTCTGGAACGTGGCAGGGGCATTACACAAGCCAAACGGTAACACTTGATACTCAAAGACACCATCGGGTGTTACGAACGCAGTTAGTTGCTTGGCACATTCGGTGAGCGGGATCTGATAGTATCCTCTCGAGAGGTCGAATTTCGAGACGTACGTGGCGTTTCCGATCTCGTCGATGCAGTCTTCTAAAAGGGGCAGCGGATAGGCATCCACAATGGTCACCTTGTTGAGCTGCCGATAGTCGGTGCATAATCACCAGGAGCCGTCTGGTTTGGGGACCAAAAGGCAGGGCGAGCACCAAAACCCCTGGCTCGGTCGGATGAGGCCGTGCTGGAGCAGGAAGTCGACCTCTTTCCGTATGATGTCCTTCTTTTCCAAACTCATCCGATAGGGTTGAAGGCGAATGGAGGTGTAGTCCATCAACTTGACACCATGGTAGATGGCATCAGTCTGGGTCCGGACCCCCCTAAACAGACTGAAGAATTCATTAAGCAACAACTGCACCTCTTCAAGTTGGGCCATCTGCAAATGGGACAGTCCCTCCACCACAGCATTCGCAGAACTAGAATTATTGAGAATGAGATTAGTTGGGTCCCCAGAACAATCATCCCCTCCCTCACTGGAAAAGGAAACATTGGTTAGTGCGATGGGCCTGTGGCCCTGGAACTTCTTCAGCCGGTTCAAGTGTACAAGCAACACCTGGTTACGCTTGTCAGAGTGCCTTACTTTGTACGTGAGGTCCCCAGCCATGTCTGTCACAATTTAGGGGCCTTCGTACTTGTGAGACATATTATTCCCAAGTCGAGACTTTAATACCAGGATAGGGTCACCAGGTTGAAATACCTGCAACTTAGCCTTAGCATCGTGTCGTTCTTTTATATTTTCTTGGGCCTTCCCAAGATACTTTAGTGCAGCCGCCTTGCAGTCCCTGAGTCTCTGGTGGTGTTGCACAAAGAAAGCCGAACCTTCGGTCAACGTTACGTTCCCTAACAGATTCTCCTGTAACATTTGCAAGGGTCCACAAACTTTATGGCCAAAGACTAACTCAAAAGGAGAATAACCCAGTGAACTTTGTAACCCCTCTCGAGCAGCAAACAAAACATAAGGCAGGTTCTCATCCCAGAATCTGTGGGAATTCTCGCACGATGTCTACAGCATCTGCTTAAGAGTTTGATGGAACTGCTCAATTACCCCCTGACTCTGTGGATGGTATGGGCTGGAAACCTTATGAGTTATTCCATGGTCCTTACAGAATTGTTAAAAAATATCAGACTTAAAATTAGTACCATTGTCAGTTTGCACGACCCGAGGCAGTCCAAAAGTAGAAAAAAATTGCAACATACGAGCAACAACAGTCTTTGCTCGGATGTTCCTTACAGCAAAAGCCTCAGGGTAACGGGTCGTGATACACATCATCGTGATTAGGTAAATATTCCCAGACTTAGTTCTAGGTAATGGACCAACACAGTCCATTACCACATGAGAAAATGGTTCCTCCGGCACGACAATAGGCCTTAGAGGAGCTTTAGGTGGTGTCTGGTTAGGTTTCCCAACAAGCTGACAAGGAATACATGAGTTACAAAATTTTGCCACATCGCTTTTCAGCTTGGGCCAAAAGAAGTATTTAAAGATTTTGTGATAGGTGATATTAATACCTTGATGTCCCCCCATAGGATCATCATGAGCAGCTGCCAAAACTCTCTCCCTATAGCAGGTAGGCAACATAACCTGGTGGACTACCTCCCACTCATTTGACAAGGGAGAACTCTGTGGTCTCCATTTTCTCATCAAAATCTGATCATTGTAGTAGTACCCAGTTGCTGCATCTACAATCTCCTCCTTAGAGAGAGCTACATCGTGACATTCTGCAAGACTGGGGTCAGCTTTCTGTAAATCACTCAAGGAGGCGTCCATGCCTTGGTCAGATGCCATTGGCTGAGGCTCAACAGTGTTCTCCTCCACCTCCTCACTACTCTCAGTAGGAGGCGATGGTAGGCTCTCCACAATGTCCTCTGCCTCGTCATCGAGTCGGGCCATGAACGTGTCCGCAAGGTCCACTTGGCTTTCACTACTC